CGAGTTACATTGTACTATTTTCATTGTTCTGAAACCTAATGTGTCTCTAACAACGAGTCCCTTGCCTTCTTTTACCGACACACTCTCGGGTTTTTTTTTACGGTGGGGCTTCAACCATGGATTGGCCATCATCCTGTTGCATATATTCATGGAGTCCCTTCGAGAGACAGCCTGCCAATGAATCAACCAATTATCATATAATAGTGCGCAAGTGAAGGTGAAGTCGTAAACATTGTCCCGTGTCATTGCCCGGCTGGTGCGGACCCCCCTGCCTCGTGGTATGTCTGTCCACTGACCTATACTATGAGCGTGTGGCTGTTGCTACCCCCCCCCCCTCCCCTGGGGTTGTTTCCTGACGACGTTACAACTTGGCCGGACAACCTCGTAAAGACGTACGTAAGAAGTAAACCGACAGCCCACTGGGGATTGTTTACTTACCAGCCAGCTTTCCCTTCTGCCGCTTTATCTGTATTCGCACGAACATAACTGATCTAAAAGTTACCCCCCCCCTTTCCTCCCCTCCAAGAAAACATGACAACGAACCCACATAATTCCCACAAACAATAGACTATGCAAGCAACAACCCACTCCCCAAAATATCCCCCGCCCCCTTAACTCTAAACAAATTAAACAACAAACAGTAGCTAAAGAAGCACAAATAACAGTAACAATGAACAAACAAGTAACCTTTGTGCCCATTAGCTTGATTTTGGGATACGAGGAGGAAAAAGGGGGATGGAGAGGGTCAGTTAAGTGCTTGAGGGTCACTGAAGTACTCTGAGGGTCACCTGTCGTACTGTCAGATTGCCGATGGTTTAGACTGTCGCGTGTCGTTGGCCTAAGAAAAACCGTGTGTGTTTACTGTCAATGGCGTTTGATTCATTCGCGTCTTACTGTTGGAGTTCGCGGTCCAGCGTACGGTTTGTGATTTCACAGTGGGTTGGTTCTTACTTTCTCTCTGGCCTTTCCCCCCCAACTCCTTTCACCGATCGTTAATTGGGTCCTATCGCCATTTGTTGCTTCTTCTGTTTTGAAAAAAAAATTGGGGGGGGGGGGGTGCACTAGAATGTGGCCTAGTCCTATCTCATTTTTGTTATCAGTACTTATGTCGGGATCTTCCCCATGGCGAAAACATGACTGAATATCATTGTACTAATTTAGGACATGTTAGAGCACGTCTCTTTACTTCTGATCTATGATTCTTTGTCTTAGCGAAGATTATGAAAGTAACAACCTTTCAATTTTGATCACAAAAGGATCATAGTGTCAGTGCACTTTTCTTTACCTCGAATTGTCTTCAATATTTTTCTGTGTAGCATCCCTCTCCCTTTCTCCTCTCTGTCCTCTCTCTCTCTCTCTCTCTTTCTCTCTCTCTCTCTCTCTCTCTCTCTCTCTCTCTCT